ATGGTTCAGTCCCCCGCGGCGACTAAATTTTGCAGTTTGACATCTGATTTTGATATGGTACAGCACTAGTTGGCACCCAAACCATAGGCGCCAACCCAAATGCAAAATTTAATCACCAAGGGGGATCAAACCCTTTAACAGTACCTTATGCTTCTTTTTTGGTACTGCTATAACCGTTCAGCGAAAATGAAACATGGTTTTGCGTTCCCTACATGCGTCCCTACTCGTATAACTTCGTATAAAAAAGCGGCACTTGCCTCTGAAGGATCGTCCCTTGGTGTAGAAGGAAATCATGTTGAGGGCCATATGTCAACGGACAGAAGACAGCATCACAGTCGTATATACTTCCTTGACTAGCACAAGCATTATCGCCGATTGGTGTGAACACCGCTTTCTAAGACAGTCCTTTACTGTTATAACCTTCGAGATTTGCTAACAGAACTTCTTCAAGACCATGGAACATCAATTACAAGAATGGCAATGTTTGAGCCGTCGCCAAACGGATTCTTATTGAGTCGCCTTCAGAAAGTTGACGCTCGTGCGAAGCAGGGTGAATATCGGTCGAGGAAATCCTCGACAGGGGGGTCGTACCTGTTCGGGCTGGTCCATGGGGGGTCGTACTCTTGGGGGTCAGTAACAGCAGTGGTATCGTGGTGCAGATAGGTAAGAGGGTATAGCGCAGCAGAAAATGAAAATATCTGAAAAAAACATGATATTAAATTTTCTTTGCAGGTTCAGTCGCTCCACCTTCATGAGAAGGGCGTATTTGAAGGCAGTACAAAGAATGAAAGTGCATCCCCGCAAAGAAGACTGCCACATGTGCGCACGCGCTGCAAAGGCACCTCCTCTGCCTATCGCTCGCTCCTTCTCCCTTAATACCTCGCTGAGAATGACACTGTTGTTAGGGACCCTGTCGCAAAAACGACAACCGTGAAGGAAAAGCCCTGGGCAAATGAAGTTGTTCTTTAGGTTGTAGAGAGTTACGAAATGCGTTTACTACAATGCAGCTTCTGTCAACTGGTCATGATCATATGACACCTTCGAATCGATTCTGCAACTTCGAGTGAGGTCGGATGCATGGCCTATACTCAGACAAAATTCGATGATGACGATTGCCCCTTTTCCTATTGCTTATGTTGGGAGGATGTTTTCTAGACCCATTTCAAGCGTTGCCAACAATTACACTTGCAATGGTGAAGGAGGGAGCGGATTTTCAGGTGGCCGGATCCGTCCTCGATACATACTCGACGCAGATATCTTCTCAACTAGGAAATGTAGAAGAAAGCTAAGAAGACCATCAGAAAGCGCAAACCTTCCGCTTTCCAAAACTATCTTCCCTTTTTCAGGACCTTACGACATTAGAGAGATATTGCTTTTGAAGTGGCAAAAACTAGCATGAAAATTTTCAGCATCCTCGACGTTTACTCGACGAAATTTGAGAGACCCTATCTTTCTGCATGGAAGACTTTCAGAGCAATTTCAATACTTGGAAACGCGAAATCCAGCTCTATCTAACCCTACCTCAAACTGCTTCAAAGGTTATGAAATGGAGGAATGCAACCTTTTCATCGAGGGTGTAGATTTCGACGGTTTTTTTTCGGGATTTCAGCAAATCTGACCCAGTGACAATCGCGCCGCAGCTGCCGTTGGCTGTTTCGATATACTCGAGCAGGAATAAGATTAAATCGCAACCCTGTGCCTTCAGGATTTCTGTGCATTTCTGGGCAGGATTTTTTTTTGATTTATTTTGCAGGATTTTTTTGATTAATTAATTGAATTAATTTGCTCTGTTTTAGGGGGTCGTGCCAGGATCTCGATTTCGGGGGGGGGGGGGGGGTACTGCGACCACGTACTCGACACGATTTTCACCCTGCGCGAAATACGTTGGGCCTCCCATTTTGTAAGATTTGTTCAATTATCAGTGTTGTTTTATTTGCGAATGGAAGATTCTCCTCTGAGATCTTACACAACTTATACAACATGTAAAGGTGAAATTCAGCTTTCAGTGACATTGCATGCTTTCTACGTGTTGAGAATGACAGTGTTGTTAGAGGCGTTGTCGCAAAAAATACAATGTGAAGGAAAGGCCCTGTAAAGTGAGAAGCTGGTTCCTTTTCGGCCTCAATAGAACTTTGACATAATTGGAGGTTATTGCGATAACCTAGATTGCGATCTGGAATCTCGTCGTATCTAGACCCGAAAAATTTCAGCACCGAGACATTGAATAACTCTCGAATCACTTAGAACAGTCGTAACTAACCAGGTACGGGACAAATCTTTGATCGATTCTCTGGCATTCATAGGAGAAATACTTCCAAAATAATGTCTTTCTCATTGACTGGGCGCTTATAAGCCTCTGGATTTTTGAAGGGACCATTCTCATTTGAATAACTACCACGGTATATGTCAGAACAGAAATTTTAAAGAAGAACGATACCTTCTTAACACGTTGACGACCGGGCGGATCCGGGAGTGTCTGCCGCGCGGGACCACGGGACCAGAGGGTATTCAGCGAAAATGAAATATGATTTGCGTTCCCTACATGCGTCCCACAAAACCGTTTTGGACGCACCTTGCCCTGAAAGACCTCCCTTGTTAGAAGAGACAGTTCCTTATACTTAGACCTTCGAGATTTATTACATTTCTCGAAGACCTTGGAACATCAATTACAAGAATGGCAATATTTGAGCCGTCGTTAAACGGATCCTTTTTAAGCCGCCTTCAGATAGTAGTTGACGCTCGATGCGAAATCGTCGGGCCTTCAATGTTGTAAGATTTTTCAATTATCAGTGTTGTTTTATTTGCGAATGGAAGATTCTCCTCTGAGATCTTACACAACTTATACAACATATAAAGGTGAAATTCAGCTTTCAGTGACATTGCATGCTTTCTACGTGTTGAGAATGACAGTGTTGTTAGAGGCGTTGTCGCAAAAAACTGTGAAGGAAAGGCCCTGTAAAAACGAAGCTGTTTCTTCGATTACGTTGCAGTTACGAAATGTGCTTACTACAATACAGTCTTTTTGAAAGGCCGCCGCCATATAACACCTTTCGATCGATTCCGATGGCATATTTTTCTTATCGCCTAACTTGGAGAACGCCATCGAATTAATTGCAATAGTGAATAAAAAGCGACCTTTTCAATAGTCAAAATTCGGCCTCAATAGAACCTCGACAGAATTGGACGTTATTGCGATCTGGAATCTCGTCGCATCTAGACCCGAAAATTTTTAGCTCCGAGACATTGAATAACTCTCGAATCACTTCGAAAAGTCGTAACTAACCAAGTACGGGGACAAATCTCTTTGATCGATTTGCTGGCATTCGTAGGAGAAATACTTCCAAAATAATGTCATTCTGTATTTTTGAAAGAACCATTCTCATTTGAATAACTACTACGGTATATGTCAGAATAATGGAATTTTAAAGAAGAACGATACCTTCTTAACACGTTGACGACTGAGTGGATCCGGGACTGTCTGCCGCGCGGGACCACGGGACCAGAGAGTATTTTTCTCGTGGAAGCAACTATATATAACTACATACCTAATTCAACGTGCTGATTACGAATATGGCATCAATTTGTGACGCTCACGCCAACTTGGCGTCACGTTGGGGCTATCTTGGCGCCACGAATCCTATTTGAAAAGACCTGTAAGTGGTAGGTATCCCTACAAAATTATAGGTTGGGGGACCATATGTATGATGTATACCGTAACCCACGTTTGCGTCAGAGCGCGGTTGCAGGCTTTCCAGTGCACAATGCCAGCACTAGTGTGAGAGCGGTCAACGACGCCGCCCCTGCTGTTCAGGGCAGCGACCCAGAAATGAAGCGACGTCGCAACGTTCCCCTCGCCGCTTGCGCGGCGTCCTCCTCCTTCTACATAAACGGCGCTTAGTACTCTGCGCGGGCCTGCTCGACGCATTCTCTCTTCGTTGAGAGGGTGCAGAGAAGACGAGAAAATCGATGACACGTGAGAATGCGCGCCCCAGTGCAACGTCGAGAAGGTTACGGTATACACCCTGATGTGTCCCCCCATGGGAACTCATCAGATGCTGATATGTCTGCTTGCCCTGAAATAGAGCCGTCAATCACGGACATGACAATTTGCAGCGCCAAATGGCACAAACAGCGGCAATTTGGCAGCGCGATTCTGCACCTTTGAAGGGAATAGTTGCCCCGGTAGACCACGAGGCCTTATAAACGACGATTTTAGACATGAAAACGAGGCGATGATGGAAACGTTAATCTGTAAATCGCGGAATGTTTTGCACGACCGATTATCATTCGATGAAGAATGTGGACTTCATCGTGATGCTGCTAAGACAGCAGATGTTGTCGAGGCTGCTATAACCAACGCTTTCCGTCAACATCACTCCTCACTGCATTAGATTGCATCTAGGAAAGTCGAGTCCGATGTAGGATGATTTGGATACTTTTGAGGCGTCATAACTTCGTGCTAAACCTTTAATTGTTGACTGCGTCACATTACACTTACTGCATTTTTAGAATGTAGCAAGACCATAGAAAGTACAATACATAATCAAATAAATAGCATTATCCTTACAAATAAAGAGGTGCTCGAACAAAATGAAAAAAATCCAAGCATCTGTTCAATTTGGGGTGTCGCCCGACATCGGGTGCCATCCTCCATTGCTGCGGAAAAGATGCCGTCCGACGTCGGGC